ATGAGCAAACTTACTTACCACGAAAATACCGCATGGAGGATATCAGTAGTGATAATTTGTTGCTTGCAACTAGTACGAGGAAAACTGATGGAAATCAGTGGCATCCATTGGGCTACTGTCCTAGTATTGAATTGAGCGACGTTCTGTCTTCTCTATTCGATTTTCTCCAACTACCAACTGAGAGGTTGTCGGTACATATAGCCTTGGAAATGCATAATCGATGAATTCTGCCAAGAATCGTTGAGATCTGTGGTGCTTCTAGGCCTCCCTCATATAGTGAAATTACTTACAGGATGTTAAACTTTTTTTCAATGTGATTCTGTGCCTCCGCAAGAATGCGTCACATTACAGACTATCAGGTGAAGAAGTAGGATGTGTACCAAAACGGTTGCCAAGTTCTTCCCTATCAGAGATCTAGAAGTCTGACCGGCAACAGCACGCCATATCAGGTGTCTCGGAACCGTAGTTCAATCATTCTCAACCGGACAAATCCAGCGCGAGACAATTCGAAGACAAATTTTCGGCCATACGGCGGGTATTTAAACTAAAGGTAACCAAGTAGAAGACGTTACAGTGGTGTGGTCGTGTACTGCGCATGTGGAGTCATTGTCTATCAAAACGTTTGCTGCCTTGTGCGACTGATCCAGAGAGGAGAGGAGGAGGTGGCCAGCCATGAGTATGAAGGCGCGTACTCTCTGTGCAGCTCGCCTTACAGTGTGAAGGGCACGTGACCTTCCACTACGTGACTATAGACTCTGCAATATATGTCTCACCGTCACTACCGGTGACGCTCTTTTTGTCAGTTTCTTATCCGTGTGGGAATGTGGAGTCGCCTGTCACGAAGAGACAGGAACTTAACGCGGTTTGATGGTTTGCGCACCTCAGCGATTCACTGAGCTATACTGGGATTGCCCGCGTGACACTCACGGAGTCTCCCATAACAGTTTGTTCAATGGCTAGATGTCTGAAGGAAAGCCTCCTTGTCTCCAGGTTGGGGATTGTAAAATGTGGCGACTCGTTCCGTAGAAATGGTAATACATTTGCATTTCCCGTCAATCAACGCTGCCTTGCGGTGTTTGAGTGGTGCTTTCGGGCCAGAGACCTTGGTCGAAAACCCTAATCGTCCCTGTTTCTAGATGTGGGTGCCCAGGTTGTATTCCAGCCCTTGTACAACCATGAGATTCATTATGGCAGTGAATCATCGGTGTTGGACAATGACGTCATGCTGTCCATGATGATGATGATGTAAGGCGGTAGGTACCTGCATTGTCAAGCACTAGGCACCTTCAATTTCTCCCCCTTCACAACAACGAATCGCGGTTTCGAAGCAGCGAATTCTCGACAGTATTAATCGACTGCCGAGAATGATTGCAAGGAGTACTGGGGACTGCTGACAGAGCAAATGTTTGGACTGACACGGTTCAGGCAGCAACAGCTCACCAGTTTGAGTTGATGACTTTCATTTTCCTATTTGGTATCTGAGCACAAATTACGGTCAAAAACAGCTTGGTTGCATCGTTTGACGCACCGCAACATCAGAAAAATATATTTCCTAACGTTTTCACTATTAAGTCAAGCACAATGTATTACTCTTTTGTTAACCCCTGACATAACCGAAGTCGGCATGCGTATACGGTTTCAATAACTGACTGGATCCATGCACCCAACTAAATGTCAGTTTTTGTTTTAAGACGGGTTGGCGTTGCTACTAGCTTTTTCGACGGAATAGCCTGATTTCAACTTTGATCAATTTCAGTTACGTGTGAAACAGTGTGTAAGTATACTGACCTGTTTGTTGCCTATTGAGTTCGGTCTAAGATCAGATTGAAACTCGTCAATGTGTGGTAGGCCTGGGACACGTTTAGAGGCTGGAGCAAATTAACGGTTTCAAAGGGATGTTGAAACTTAGTCAGCTGATTTGGTGCTCCTCATTGTATATATATATATATACGCATATGCATCGGTTAGGCAATTTAGTCTAAAGCTCACTGAATTCTGACGACATAAATATTGATTTCTCCGTGTACATCAACAGACATCGACCAATTTGCTACCGAAGGTGAGATATCCTCTCCGTATTACCCTTGTGATGACCCCATATCTAATTAAGCTTGGTTCCCTTTGCGATAAAGAAAAAATAGTGCATTAAGACAGTCGAAATTATTCGATGGCTTCACAATTGTTTTGAGAAAGTTAATTGTTAAATGAAAGCAACCTAATTTGTTGGGTTCAGCAAACACGTAGCGGAGTTCCATCCAGAGCAAAATGAATTTCCTCTCTGCACTTGGAACAGTGGTTGGCTTCGCCAAAGAAAGTCGGTTCCGGCTTTGGTGCAAACTGGCGTCAATATGGTTTAAGGATGATGCTCTCCGCCGAGTAGCCTTTTGGGAGGAGACACCACATAAGCGTCCTTAAACTACCTGACAGGAAATTAAGTTTCACATACGCACCTGATCTTTACAAATTGAGCTTGCTCCCATGTTCGCTTCAAATTTCGGGGATATTCATTGACCATCATGTAATTTCCAACGAATACTGCAAAGCATTTCAGCAGATTTCGTAATAAATCCCAAGGCGTGCACGTTCCATCAGACGCAACGTTTAGTTATGCGAAAACCACATACTATCCCCATGACTCATCAGTAGGCTCTGCCTTGACACGGGCAAGCTTGACTTAATGTGGATGTGGGAACAAATTCTAAAAAGCCTGAGAATACATTAGAACAATCTAGTGAAACGGCTGTTCTTTGCGCAAACATTGTGGGGTAAAGTATCATATCACAAATACTACAGAAGCTCTGGAAATTGTCCCATTATGATAGGACTGTGACGTAAATTTTGAGATTTTTGCAATGGCTGAAAGGAATGATTCCACAACGGGCCGAACAGAAAAAAATGTAAGAAACGTCTTGAATAAGGTGCATTTCTCCAGAGGTAAACCGTCAACCGTTCCATACGTTGAACCTCGCCTATGTACCACTACACATCTAATGCGTGGACAATATTTTCACTTTGCGACGAATTCTGTGGGAAATTCGACGAACCGAGAGAGGTTGGGTGGCTGCCTTCAACATCCGACAATACTTTCGGGGATTTGATAAGCTGTTTTGCTTTGCACATTTGTACTTTTTTAAAACACAGAAACCATCGCACCAATTTGTACATAGGACGATATTTCTGGATTCCAACCTATCGCTTTGAATCTGCTTTCGATAACTCCGTACTATTCGCAATAACGTCCGTTTGTATTATCACTGTTGTTTGATAAGCGTCCATCAAAATTATGAAGCACACAGTATCGATTTAGATGTGCTTGGGTGTGCCGATTACTTCATATATGCACCCGAATTGTTGGCAGTCTTCCTTCGAAAATGTCAGCTCATGATCCTAAATTTTTCCCGCTTATACTGCGCATCACCTAATGTAATTCGTTCGTTTGATGCTTCAGAATCTACTGGCTACAAGCACGCTAATACAGGTGTAATGAATTGTAAGTTATCCCGGAATGGAAGCGCGTTCTTTCAAACCGCATTCAATAGCTTATGTAAACGGAAACTTTTTCTAGTCGCCGTAAAATTTCAGAAACTATTGTGTCTTGACCGAAGGAAGCGAATTGCTCAACTGAGAATAGTTTGTCTGGATAGCTTTACCGAATATTATCCGTTACCCTCAACGCTCAGTCTGAAAGTGTCTGTACATTCTTCCGTAAATGATTAGCAAATTTCATTCGCCACATTTGCGTTCACATACCATACGATCAAGTCGAAATTTAAATAGAGGGCTCGGACAAGCTCCGCGTGCGGACCGATTTGTATCCAATTATGCGGCATCAACTTCCAACTGAATTCCATCCGACAAACGTCGTTGACGCAGACTTATCTAACGTGCAAATTAGATATATATAACTTATGCACTGTCTTACTCAACGCCTTGGTTTATAACCGTCCATATGAACCTGCTATAAGGTACTGTCGAGTAATGCTGTACCTTGAAGTAATACTGGTCCTGTCAACATCTGTCCAGTCAAGAAGATACACAAGCAATCCACAGTATAAATGTCTTCAACCATTTTTAAAACGTAGACAAATGAAATAGAGATGGTTATTGCGAAAATACCGTTCAAACTTCCAGTCAGCGGTAACGTGAAAGGGAATGGAATTTTTGGAATTTCGTACAACAGAACTTAATTTGTTAACTGTGTTCCCTTTCGAATTGGCCCCATCCGCGGGACAGCGTACGTCTGAATCTCATTCACAGGCGGTTGGCATCCGGCTGACTTTTGTTCTATGGGCCGCGCACGGTTTATAAACGGCTAATGCTTGTTATGTCCTATTTAGTTCACCGATGATTCTGCCGATATGTTGCAATGATAAGCTTAATAGTTTCCGTAACTTTCAACTGCGGCGTTATGGAAAGTGCGTCTATCCTAGTGAATTACAGGACACTTATTCTTACATTAATATATTTGGCAGCCCGATAACTACTAATAGGCCTATTCCAGTTATAACGTTTTGACACTAAATGCGTTATGTCTTTGCCGTTGGGTGCTGCTGTTGGGCGCGCAGCGTCGAGTTGTCAGACATTCAACTGCTCTGTTCCACATTGCAGTCAGAAATGTCTGTTGGTTGCCTACATCTATCGGTTGAGTCCGTCTCATTTTGCAGGCGATAATATCGGGTAGGGTGCTTGTGATCAGCAAGATACCTGAAATTCAGTCATTGGAAATTTTGTCCTTGAAAATTCATCTCATCCCACTTGTTTGTTCCCTTATATCTACAAGGCGTTTTCCGCCATCTGGTTGAGGATATGGCCATAAGTGAGTAATTCATATTTTGATCAGTATCAAATCAAGGTAACGTTTTCCCGTTCGATAAAAATAAATTTATATGTGCTCCCTTACCAGGATGTCGGATACAATCAAATGTTGTCTCCAAAGTTTTCTTCGATCTTTGAGCCGCACTACTGTTTTCTCTCGAGAAAACAAAGATTTTCAAGCTCACCTGAGGCGATACACTTGCGGATCTTCTAGCACACATTCAAACTCCGTAGGGTAACACCGCTTTCTGAAGAGTTCATGTCCAAATCGTCCAAGGAGCATCTTTCAAAAGAAATTTACAACCATAGCTATAGGAAATCATTTAGAGGTCGAAATGATTGGGACAAAGTCTCTGTGACTGATATTAAAACGGAGTCTTACGTTCAAGTATATGCGTAGGAAGTAAAATAGTCTGTTAAGCTGAAACAATTGATTGAACGGGGGAATTACCGCAAGCTCGCACAGTTGCGCATAATCTATGCTGGCCAAGAGGAAATTCAAAATCTGAATTGCCACAATAGTTTAAATTTTGTAGCAACTTAGGTGAGAGTACCTCAGTCAACAAGTATTTTATCGCTGTGCTCACTAACAATGGAATAGTCAGATGCAAACGGGTGAAAGGAAAGCCGAACATATCAGTAAAGGTTGTGTCAAAACGTAATGGCAGCCCCTCGTCAAGCCACGAGTCTGCGGAATCGACTAGCACCTGAACCACATCTAGAATTGCAGCTCGGAAAGGAATCTTATCAAATCGGTTACATTTTTTATTACTTCAACGAGTATTTTCTCAGCTACCCACAAAACAAATCAATGGGTCAGGCAGCAGTTTTACTCAGAACCTTGAGACATTTTCCAGAACGACATTGTGAACAACGGTTAGGAGTCTGCCAGGAGCGAAAATTTACATGTCTAACCAAACTGAAGCCCTAGTCTATGGTATTCCCCAAAAAAGCATTCACCTGGATTTTCTGGAAAAACCAAACCGGCCCACATAAAATTGCTCTGCAACTTTCATACAAATTGGGTTCAATTGTAACAAAATAATAACAGAAGATTGAAAACTGAACAATTCAGATAGCACGGAACATTAGCAGCAATGAGACGATTTCGGACGATTTCCGTCGTCACACAACCAAAATTTCACATTTTCTAATTTCACCTTGCCTCTGATGATATTCTTGTGATCAAATTGGCACATGGAAAGGCATTTTGAGGCACAAATTGAGCATCTTTATAAACCTCTGGTAACAACTTACTTGGATCTTCTCAATGCGCTCTCTATTGTCATGCGCTCGAATGAATACGCCATCTTATACCTTAATAAAGCAGCTTCAATTTGTAATTGCTACCAAAAGTTTTGATTTTTCGACATATGTCGAGATGCTAATAAATTTCATGAACGACGAAACACAGACATAGGGTGGAACAATTTCTAACACTGGAATAATCCTAAATGATCTGTCGCTACAGAGATGGAGATGTTCAACGTGGAAACCTCTCAAAGCATTGGTGAGTTGGTTTGATGGTGGACATTATTTCCTCTTTTCCCTTTTCCTTGTTTTGTTTTGATGCAACACCACTATCTCATTCATATTGGTCTAAACGCAATGGGATATTTAACCAAATCATCTGACTAAATTTGGCCTTGAAATGACGGCAATTTCCCTGATCAAGCACGTTGCTCATATAGTTGCCTACATCGCATGCGAGCCGGAAACTAGCTTTGTCCCCTGTGATATTCATCAGGTACATGTAGTTTGCAGTTTATATTGGCATCACGAGAATGCCACATTGTAAATGCACCCATTGTTAGATCACATTGATATCTATGCTATCTTTCGGTTGAGCCTCCGTGAACGCTCAACTAAACTGCACCTTGTCAGTAAAATACAATTTGCGGTTACCATCTGGAAATCTCGGCTATCCCAAGGAGAATGAAGCAGATCATAAAGCGCCAATGTGATTTAACAAACTTGTACGTAGTGTACCGCCAAGAAACCATACTGCGAAATCTGGAATATCGCACCAAAATGGGGTGACCTTTACGAAAAAGTTGTGGAGGATCAGAGACGAGCAATTAAGTTAGGCCCCCATGACAGAGACAGTAAAATTCTTAAGTAAGCTCATGTCGCTTCCATTCACCATCTTATTCGTCTCCTCGGAAAAGGAGGTTGCCAGATTGGCAAAATCAATTCAAGCAGCTAAATTTTCAAGAAGCAAACTACTCTTTCACACATAAAGAAACACATACTAAAATCATGGCTCTGCATCTAACGATAAACCACACGTTCTTCGGAGCATTCACCCTATGCTTGATTGTGGCGAATTGCCAATCACCACTTACGACGTGTAAAAGCACACAGTTCAAAAGAATGGAGGCTAGGCCGAACTTAAACGGCGGCTTCCCGGCTGCCGCGAACTGTTGTAAATGGGATCAATCTTGCTATGCAAACCGGACCCCAAATGAACAATCTCAAAAGGTTTCTTTAAGTGCTAGTAATTCATGAAGGGTGCTTAGCTATTGACAAATTACTGGAAATTTCGGAGCCAATATAGTAGGCACTCGTTCCCAGTTTCGTCTCACCTTAACTTTAAAGTCACTCCGTTTCCCAGTTTCCCAAGCACTGTGTACATTCCACAAAGAACAATGCGAGAGCATACCCCTTAAGTAGAGCGTATTATGACCAAGTAACTTCTCTAGACATGCTAACAAATTTTTGATGATATTATGAAAAAGTACCTCAATAGAAACCTGAAAAGCTTTCCAAGAAAAGTCGGCAGTACCTCCCAATTATTTTTCAGCAAAATCATTTTTTATGGCCTCGCCGCAAGTTGCGGCCTCCATTTATGTTAACAGTGAGTCCAGCGCAAATTATTTTGTTAATATAGTGAGAACTATTACGTGTTGCTGTACATCTCGCACTTCATTAAATATACTAGATCGCGGAATCTGTACATTTTAGTCAGATTGTTAACTGCCCTAACCAGCTCAGATCACCTGTGAGCAGATCGATTGCATGACCCAAGGCGTACAGACTAGATCAAATATGCCGGAAGGGTAGTCAGGGATCGAAGCAATGAGGAACAATGTGTGCTGGTACTACAGAACCGCTAGGGTTCGTGCTGTCCTCTGGGTATAGTGACGTTTCTTCCAAGCATACTGAGGGACGCAGCGGTGCTACCGCTTTTCCACATGGAAGGACAAGGTAGAGGAAGCCCGCTCGTCAGTAAACAATAAATGTGGACGCATTACCCAGTACGATTGAAAAGCTCTGAAAAATCAGACTTCATTTGCAGGCAGCACTTATGCACACCGTTGCCGAAATAAAAATGGAGTTCCATGCCTTGATTCGTGTGTTCAGCAAACTGATCTTCAACGTGATATTATAATGCTGAAGTCGAGTAAACCTCCCGCTGTCCAGATTCCGGCCGTATATTTGAACGCTGTGGCGCCTAACCTTATCACTTTTAGACTAGGATTTATTCCTTAGACGTGTGCAAGCTTACTACATATCACGCTATTTTACTATGCCTCACCGACAGACTACGTCACTGGAGAATACATAGGTAAGTTATTACAGACCAATAGCCGCCTATTGCAGTTAAGCATGAGTGTCACTGCGAGGTTTATTGGATCGATCTAACGTTACCCTCTGCTTATCTCATCTTACGCGGAATTCACTACACCTGTAACTTCTAGACGGATACGAAAACAACAAGGTTCATCACATAGAACGCATCAAAATCGGGGGTTTCATTTGACAATAGAGTAATTCGCCGAATCTGGCAATTCCGCAGCGTTTGTTTCGTTGACAACCTAATTATCGCCATCAGTTTGTTGGGATGAACGAACATAAGTGTTTGGTGATAAGCAGGTGGTCTCTGCGATCCATTTCGCAGCCTTGGGGTCAAAACAATCTAGTGGAATATTGCGGAAGAATTGCCTGAGCCATAGATATTTCGTTCTAAATCAAACTCATTGGATCACATCCTCGAACGAAACCACTCACACTGATTCATACACACTATTTTACAGCTCTTCCGCTAGTGATGGCCGAGAAGATGCTTCAAGGTAACTTACAGCTTCTACTGTTAACGTGTTGATACAAGATGTGTGTTTTTGGGGCAGAATTGGAAGGTAACACGTCTTGAAAATGAAAGCGTCGTATTAATACTTTTGAAAGTCTCTGAGATTTCCACCAGATTAATGACTGTCACCAATTACTCTGGTTCGAACTACTGACCTTCCGGTGGGTACGTTCGTGCTCTCACCACTTGGGCCATCTCGCATCCACCGGTCTTAGCGTAGGAGAAGTTAATCTTCGCCTCGGATTTTAGTTCGACCTTTTTTGTAGTCGCTAGTGGGGATAAACGTATGGAAATTTCAGGATAATAGCACACTCGCTCATCGAGCATTGATACCCTCATGTATGACTTAGAACAAACACCTTTCCTTGCTATTGGGCCTCAGCTTCATCGTGAAACTGTAAAGTTGCATAAAAAATATTCCTGGAAGCCGTTGATTGAGTTGAGACTGGACTTGCCTGCAGTCGAGAAGAGAACACCATGATCCGCTCAACACGTACTCACAACTTTGTTACAAATAATTTCAGGTAGGCCAGGGATGTGACATTTCCAACGGTGGACTGAACGAGTCAAACCAGATTCAAGTATAAAAAGCAAAACGTTCCCATCTAGGGCTGAAATTACTGAGCCTTGACAGTGCTTTATTACCCGCATTTTGCTTTCCACCATATTAGTTCCGTTTAGCTTCTTTGCGGTATGACCTAAGATGCTGAAGTGCAGTTAGAGGATATGAAGAGATAGTACAGAGCAATGCGATTGATTGAATCGCATCCTATGAGCTAGTTAGAGCTAGTTACCGACCAGGATCGCAAAAGTTCTCCAGCAAAGTTGATTTACAAATTAAGCGAACAGTTTTCAAGAACCGTTAAACAAGCTTAAAAGTGCAGCACAACACCAGAATTTCCGTTCTCGCATTTGGTGGATAACCTAGGTGTGATAAGCGTGGGATTAAACAGTTTTGGCGTTTTTTGCGACCAAACTGCTGAGTAGACTGAAAATTGTGCTTTGAGACCAATAAATAATAGGGAGAACTAGTCCTGGGAAAGCCTCGTCAAAACATTTTATCCGTAGCTCAGTAATACCGAGTTAATGGCCTCGGTCACGGTGACTCAGAATAATCTATTCGGTTATTTTATTTCCAGTTCTCCCAAGGCGTACATTTGCTAAAGTAGAAATCAGTAAGTTTGCTTCTCCTTATGCAGGTCTAACTTGCTTCTTCACACATATATTTGCTTGAATTTCGTCAGGAATTGCCCCCAAAATTCTCTAGTTGGATGTGCCATCAGAAAGATACATAGAGTATGTAATACAGAAAGTTGGAATTTTAATTCCATTGGACAGAAATTTCTCACTCAAGCATCCGGCAGATAACCGATTCGGAATAATGACATCAAGTTTCGAAAATTTCCGTATTTCACAGCTTGCACGTAACAACAAGAGGTCAAATGTACGAATATTTGCAGATTCTGAAAACTGAAACTTTGTTTTCCTGATCTTACAATCAGAAATTCCGGCAGACTTCCCACAATAAGTTGACAACGTTCTGCGACCTAGAGGCTTTGGCAGAAAAATGTGTAGATTGTTTACAATATAGGACAGATACAGTGTTGAACACACGAGTATTGTGTTTGACAGGCTATTTATGCATTGTCAGGTTAATCCAGTCCTCCGACGTTTGGTTAGGCTGGTTGAGCGGGACACAATATTATTGCTGGGACCTTACGTGTTGAACGACAAGACAGCGAAAGCTTTTACTGGGTTACTCCCTCTCGGAAGTCGGTTCGAAAGAACTGAAAGCGCTCTGGGCACTGGGCTGTTGGTTTATGCTGATGACACTGATGACTACACAGAGGGTTTTTATAATGCAATTGTCCGAAGTTCCAACCGCCAGGGAGGCCCTCATCAGAAGGCTGAATGACAGCAAGGACTGACAGGATAATAACAGAGGATGGTGAGTATGTTTTGTTGCTTGGACAAGCGCGTGTACTACGCAATCAATGTACATACACTTGGGGCTGGGTTTTCGTGTTGCGGCGGCTTGTCGTGTTCGTGTCGTCCTTGTACACTGAACTAGGCCACACGAAACGGCAAGTACCTCAAAACAATTAGACCTGTTAACACATGTGACTAGCAGCACATGACTGAGTGCAGCACTTCGATGTCGAGATTCTACTGCTGAATGTGTATCAAGTCGTTCCCAACTAATAACTGAGTGACGGCAACGTCTGTTCGACTCGTTCCTTGGACCGGTCAAACCATGTCATTTGCGGTAGTCGATTCCAAACATCAGTTGTTCCCTAGTTTGTACAGTCTAAACACATTTAGGCTAGTGGTGTACCGGCTCACTCCTTGTCTCTGAACTAAAACTTAGTGAGGAAATTATCCCAAGTTTGCTGAAAACTATTCGACAGCACACAGCCACGTACGTCCTTCTTGCAGCTCATCACGTAGCTGCAGTTTCCGATTTTCCGTCTACCTTATGTTCAACTTGAGCCTAAATTGGATTTCGACAAATTCCCAAGTTTGCTGAAAACTATTCGACAGCACACAGCCGGTTCCGTCCTTCTTGCAGCTCATCACGTAGCTGCAGTTTCCGATTTTCCGTCTACCTTATGTTCAACTTGAGCCTAAATTGGACTGATTTCGACAAATACACTCGTTTGCAAACCAATTTGTTTTCCACGGAACACTCAACTGAATTTATCGTTTATGAACGTTTTGGACCATTCCTTGACTACAGAAAAGCCCGAAGCCGCCAACAGTGGTGAGCTATCCTATCTACTCTCTTTGCTTAAGCCCACGAAATTCTGCAAAGTAAATCATGAGATGCGAACCTCCGTCGGAAAAATATGATTTTGTGACTTTGATGTGTTCGTCCTCTGAGCAAAGGTGATGGAAGTCTAATCTATTTTCGGTATATATTACAGAATCGACCTTACTCACGTCGGCAGTTGTCAGTAAGCCAGTTCTGCATTGCTTTGCTCCTCACGTGATTATCCGTTTATTGGTTATGCTACCGATGAAATCATTGGTCACCGTTAGAGCGTATGTGAAATTTTCCGTCGAGCTAACCTCATGAAGGTTCTCAACAGTCCAATATTTTCAAGTGAAAGAGAAATGTAATCGCGCGGTCAGTACATGAATGAAAAATTTTCTATTCGGGTAAACACTTGGGTCACCACTGTGTATACCACAAACGGCAGAAGCATAAACCGCGCTTGGATTCACAAACACCAACATGTGTTTGTCGTCAAATATAGCGGTGAAAATTGCTTGAGATAAGGAGCTCATCGGTTGTGCTGAGAGGGCAGCAGATATATTTGATACATACAACATTCAGCAAATTGCCAACCAGAAAGATACCGGCCTGATAGACAGACAGACAGACAGACAGACAGACAGACAGAGAGGCAGGCAGTTAGATAGGTCGATTTACAGACAAAATGATTTACGGTCACATGACGTGAAAATGAATCGAGCAAAGTTTGAAAAATATGATCCTATTGTCGAAAAAAAGCAGAAAATCCCACCTTTGGGTAGAGAACCTACCTTGACTTATCAGCTGATCGTTCAACCACCCGTAAACACTGGTTAGCCTAGTTAATCCACCTACGTGCCTCTTGACTACAGGTTGCAACTCACCTGATTCACCCCAGTTAGGATACCGCTTGCCAAACCTTAAGGCGTTCCTGGACTATTCTCAAAAAAATTTAATATGATTTTGCCCGTGACTCATCAATATCTATCGGTGGTTCCTTTCAGGAGAGCTACAGAGCACTGACCTCACTGTTGAAACTGTTCTAGGTATGTGATTTTATCACCACTTACTATTTTTATCATAAAACAATTATATCATCACTCCCATTGTAGCCGTTCCAAGCACATGGAAACCCATGGGAGCCGGTGCCCAATTTGATAGGCCTCATTGGATGCGTGCATCAGATGGCTTTATGTTCATCTTGTAGGATGCCTACAAGCGCCGTTCAGTTTATCATCACGGGCTGGCGTACGCTTAAATGTACGATTGGTTGCCCCGACCGTTATTGCACAGGACGCCGGGTGGAATATGCATGCCATTACGGCTGGTACGGAGCACATCTTTTGTTATTGCAAAACGAAGCAATGT